ACTCAGCCCCTCAGTACAAGATCACAGTGAGGGCAGAGCCTGGGGCTCTTGTAAGGAACTGGGGTGAGGAAGGCCAAAAGGAGGCACAAAATGGGGCCCAGCAGACAGGAGGAAGAGGAAATTTTAAGGGTGGAGAGGCTCTGGCACAGCTGTGGCTGCCCCTGGATCCCTGGAAGTGTCTAAGGCCAGGCTTGGAGCAGCCTGGGATGGTGGAAGGTGTTGGGGGGTTGGAAGGAGATGGGCTTTAAGGTCTTTTCCAACCCAAGCCATTCTGGGATCCTTGACTCTGTAAAATCTTCCAGCACCCCCTTTTTCCTCTGGAAGTTCCACTCCTAAAGCTGCCCAGGCCACCACACAACGTGCTCAGCACAGGGAACAAATCTCATGACCAGGATTCCCTGGAGAACAATCCCTCCATGAGGACAACACCCCCAGGGCTGGAGTGTGGCTGAAACCCCCCTGACACCCGACAGAACACCTGAAACAGCTCCTCCTCTTCCTCCTTCCACCGTGGGGCTGGGCTGGAAGGAGCCTGGGGGAGGGCAGGAGGGGAGGTGGGAGGGGGACAGCTCAGAGAGGATCTTACATGGTTCCATTGGTGTAAACAGCTTCTCCTCCTTCCACATACTGCACCTGGGCTGGGTAAACGTGCTGCACAGACTGCACCTGCAACAGGCACCAAGAAATCAGGGATTGCTCAGGAAGCACTGGTCAAACTGCACAAACTCCAACCTCACCTTGACACTCAGGCTTTCTGTTTTAGGAAAAAAAAGGAAAAAAAAATAAATAAAACACCCTCCCTGCGCCCCCCTCCACGCTTAGGAATCCCAAAGGAGGTTTTTATTTTCAAAGGTCAAGTTAAAATAGATAAATAAGTGGTTGCTCCATGAGCAGTGGAAACAATGGAGCTGGGTTTCCTCTGGACACGTGTCTCAGGGTGACTAAGAGGGGTGAGCTCATGCTGCAGCCTTTCCTTCAGAGGGGAGCCTGGCAGTGTCCAGCTGCACCCCAGCCCCTTTTTCTTTGCTCTGGGAAGGATGGAGTTGCCCTCTGTCAATTTTTTTTCCCCCTTGAAATGGAGCAACCAAATAAAAAAATCACTAAAGGAAAAAAATTCAGATGGTCAGACTCGCTGTCCACATGCAGCAGCAGCACATATGCCTGGTTTCTTAGGAAACAAGCACAGGAAAAGGCAAAGTTCAAATAAATAAAAACACTTGCACGGCTCTCTGGCACCAAACCTTTCTATGGAGCCACATGCAGTCAGTAAATTTGTTTAATTAAAATAAAACCCCAAACATTTTGCCTCTAAAAAAATCTTTACCAAACGAGATTGCTTTTAATTTAACTTTGATTTAATAAATGCTTTCAAATGTAAGTTCAAAAGCATCCATCAAATCTTCAAATACATTAAAGACAACAGCTACAGCAAAGGTTCTTCCTAAACTTCAAATATCTTGAGAGTTTCTTTTGTCATCAGTCTAAGAAAGGAGGAGAGAGCTGGAGAAAGTGATCCCAGCTCTCTGACTGCCCACAACTCTTTAATTAAGATTTTTTTCTAGATCTGGCACAGTTTCAAAAGTCGTGTGGGATGTGTTGATGCAGGGCTTGTCTCCCCAGAGTGTTCATTACCTGTTGTGGAACCTGCTGGACCCTGGGGACAGAGATTTGCTGCATCTGGGCCCCTTTGGGAGCGGAGCCTGTGGCTTGGACCAAAACCCTCTGCAAGGAGAAGATACAGGAAGAGACAATTTCAGTCCATAACATGGGTGAGCCAGGTGTTCTCTTCCAAAATTTCATGGCCAACTTCCCCAGTGCCATCCTGTAATTAGTGTCCCTGTGGTGCCCAGGGTGCACCAGCCTGAGCTCAGCCCCCTGAATTTGGGCAAAGCTGCCTCCACAATTTCTGACAGGAATCATCTTCCAACCTCCATGAAAGGAAGCAGCAGTTCATTGATAAGCTCAGCCACAGCTAAACAAGAATCACTCCTCACACATCCACATTTGGCTGCCAAGCTCCTTCTCTCAGAGCTGCTAAACCCAACCACACTCTGCTCCTGCAACAAGAAATGCCACCAAGCTCCTGCCAGCACCAAAGCTCGGCTGGTTCTGCTTCCTGCAGTGCCACCAAGGGCACAGGGACATTTCCTGGTGCTGGCTCTGTCACTTCCATCATCCCTGTCTCACACCCCACTTTCAGTCTGAGGTTGTCAACACATCTCAGAGTGCTCAGCACCTTCAGATCCAGCAAAACCAACGTGGGATGTGGTGGATGGAAAGGAAGGATTCAGTGGGAACAGAGCCAAGCACCTCCATGGCCTTTTAAACCTTCTCCAAGGAGACACATCCTCTGTGGCTGCAGGCTTTAAAAACACCCAGGAGATTGGGCCAACAGAACAAAGAGCCAGAAAACAACTCCAGAAACAATCTTGATAATTAGTGACTACCTTATATATGGGTATTTAGGATTTTTAGCCCTCCCAACATATCTTTGTAACAACCAGAAATCCAATTCTAGCACAATTCCAGGTTTATGACAATTGCCCAGATCCCCAGGCTGCACTCCCTGGAGCTCCTGCCCTGAGGACACCTACACTAATGTCAGCCATCACCTGGCCCATTTTCCCTCCAGAAGGAGCTGTCACCACTGCAGGATGGGGACATCACAAGCCCTTTTTGAAGTCAGGCCTTGGCAGTGCCACCTACATCAAAGTCTCTTTCCTTTCTCCTACTTTTTCCCATTTTCTGGCATTGATTTTGCCAAGTGCCACATCCCTGGCCCAGCTGCCCAGCTCATTTCCTCACTGCCTGTCCAGGTGCTCTGCTTTCACCTTCCAGCCAAAATAAAGAATCATCCCCAACCTGGAGGGTGAGGCCATCCTGCTCAAACAGCCTCTGCTCACACCAAGAGGGGCACCAGTGCTCAACAACCCCAGGGGCTTCAGCCTCACACCATTCCTGCTGCCAGCAGCTCATTCCCAGGGTTTTCTTTGTCCTGCTGGTGAGAAGGGAAGGCTCTGGATGCTCCTCCTCTTCAGCAGTCTTCCACTACCCCCTGGATTTTCCTTAATCCAGGGGGTTCCACTCGGTGCTCCATGTCCCAACGACAGCACAGGCAAAGGCTGGATGGGTGATTTCACAATCCAAAGGTTTTCCAGCCTTTGTTCACAGCCAAATCCACACTACTGATCCTGGGGGACACCTGGCACTGCTGTCCCCATTCCTGCCACACCAGCTCTCTGTGGATGGCAAGGCTGGGAGGGGACAGCAGCACTATGGATCACCCAGTGGGAATGTCCATGGATCCTGGAGAGTCCAATATTCCTTCCAATTCCCAAACTTTAATTGTTCCTTTTCATCTGCATCCAATGGCAGCTGCTGCTGCTCACTTGGGAGTTGGACAAGGATGAAGCTGAGTTACACCCACCCATCCTCTTATCCCTCCAACTTCCTGTGACAGAAATTTCTTTTGAAAGTTCCCCAAAAGGCATAAAAAGGAACAAAAAGGAACCAGTTTCATTTAACCCTTCCTGTTTTGCACTGGGTGGTTCCCGTTCATCACTTGGCACCATCACTTTTCTCCTGTTGGGTCTCCCAAATGCAGCATAAAATTCATGGACATTAATGACAAATCCCCCCTCTGCAAATTGAAATGTAGGGATCTGCCTACCCAAGGAAGAGACCTTGGAATCCTGGAATGCTTTGGGTTGGGAGAGACCTTAAAGCCCACCCAGTGCCACCCCTGCCATGGCAGGGACACCTTCCACTGTCCCAGGCTGCTCCAATCCCAATGTCCAACCTGGCCTGGGACACTGCCAGGGATCCAGGGGCAGCCACAGCTGCTCTGGGCACCCAGTGCCAGCCCTGCCCACCCTCCCAGGGAACAATTCCTGCCCAATATCCCATCCAGCCCTGCCCTCTGGCAGTGGAAGCCATTCCCTGTGTCCTGTCCCTCCATCCCTTGTCCCAAATCCCTCTCCAGCTCTCCTGGCCTCCTTTAGCCCTGCAAGGGGCTCTCAGCTCTCCCTAAAGCTTTCTCCAGGTGAGCCCCCCAGCTCTCCCAGCCTGTCCCCAGAGCAGAGGGGCTCCAGCCCCTGGAGCAGCTCCATGATCTCCTCTGGACCTGCTCTGTCCTGTCCATGCCCTTCTTGTGCTCAGGACCCAAGGCTGCCCCAGCAGTGCAGGGGGAGGCCAGGAGGGCAGAGCAGAGGGGGAGAATCCCCTCCCTGACCTGCAGCCCCTCCCCTGGGGATGCAGCAAAGGCTCCTCCAGCCTCTCCTGCATCAGCTCTGCCCTCACCTCTCCCCTTCCAGGACTGCTCCATCTCCCTCTGCTTTTATTGACACTCCAAACCACAACAGGAAATTCCTCCAAATCAAACTCCCAGCTGCCATGGAGTGACTCCCTTGGGGACCCTAAACTCAACCCCAAACCCCAAACCCCAAACCCCAAACCCCAAACCCCAAACCCCAAACCCCACACTGTAAAACAGGCACGTGGAGGCTGGGAAGGCTCAACCCCTTTATCAACACCAAGCCCAGCCACAGGTTGTCCCCACTGCCTCGACGAGCCACAAACCCTCTCCCTGCTATCAAAAGCAGGGATTAAAACCCACGTGGCAGGGGAAGCAGGGCTGCTCTCCATGGAAACACAATCCCAGCTGGGCTTTACCTGCTGCGAGGCTGGCACTGCCTGCACCACCGGAGCCTGCGCTGGGGCCGACGTGTGAAGAGCCACGGGAGCTGCTGAGTCTGATCCACCCTCGGGACTCTGCATGCTCACTGCTGGGGACAGCACAGGGACATCAGGGGGGACAGCACAGCACAGCCACACCCCCCCACAAACCCTTCAAACCACGGGCAAAATCCCAGTGGAAGATGTAAAAGGGGAGAGCAAGGAAAGGAGGCAGATCCCGTCCTACACACAGGACTCTTTTTTAGTCCTGGAGTTCATTTTAATGCAGAATTATATTAAGGAAAAAAGAAAGTTGCACAATTGTTTCACGGAGAGGAGAGGGGAAGGAACAGAAAATGCATTTCTATATTTAACCGAAAAGTGGCGTTGGAAAATTATTGTGTCACAGTGAGCATCACACATGATGGGAAAGAGCAGGGGCATAATTTTAAAAGAATGCTTTCTCCTCTCTGCCTTGTCACCTTTAACCACTGCAAAAAACCTTTTCATCACACCTAAGTTTGATTAAAGCTAAACCTGGAGTTTAGCTAAGATTTAATAGGGAAAGTGGGGTGGCCAGCTTGGGTTTATAACCAGAAATAATCAAGGATGAAGAGCACAAGAACAGCAATTCACCCTCATTTCAGAAGCCCTGAAGCAGCAAATCCATCCTCCCATCCCTGGCCCTGCCCCAAAATCCCACCAAGGTCCCCAGGCAGCCACAGCATCTCCCTCCTGGCACTGCCCCCATCCCTGGGGACACCGAGGGATGCTGAGACAGCACACAACAGCATTTGGAGTTTGTTTGTTTTTTTTTTTGGGGGGGTGGGGGAGCCTTTTTTCCTCAGTTTCTTGTGAAACTTCCTGCTAAATAAACTATTTTAGGAGAGTTTCTGCTGTCACTTCAAAATCAAAAGGTTAAAAACATTCAGATTTTGGGCAGTGTCATTTCTGCTTTCTCAGCCTCACTGCTGAGCCTCCAAACAACATTTTGGTGTCTTTTGTTTTATTTCCCTTCTCCCGCCAGTATTTAAACTTTTCCTTCAACTCTGTGCAAATTAAGAGGAAAAAGGAAAAGTTAGAAACTGAAGGACACTGGACCTGCTCATTTGTTTTCAAAAGAAATGCAAAGGGGTTGTGAAGTTACAGGCACTGACAAAAACCCCCAAATATTAAAATTCTCCAAAAACCAGGTTTTTAAAAGTTTTTTTCCCAATACTCCATACCCCCATTAGCAAATTACAATTACTCTCCCAACCTTCCCAAAACCCTAGAGCTTGCAAATTATTTTTCTCACATCTGGGAGAATGGGAGTAAAAGTAGATACAGAACCCACACAGTCACAGCTACCAGATTAATCCAACAAGCCAGAAAGAAGGAAAATTAAATCAATATTTATTCCTGTGCCCCTCAAGCTGCCCTCAGCACCCCCATCCCTGCAGCTCTGCTATATAAAGGCAGCACCTGCCTCTCCCCATCACTGCCCCTGCCTGGGTTTTAGCCAAAACCTCCATGTGAGAAGATTCCAGTTGCAACAGCGCCGTGGAATCAGGCAAATAATTCTCCCAGTAAATGAAGAAACAGCTCCTTGCCTGCTCCAGCCCCAAATTATTTGCAATTAAATGCAGAACTGCTGGGTTTGGAATGCTCAGGCAGGAGAGGGGGGCACTTTTACCACATCTACTCCCCTAACTTTTCCAAAAGTGTTTATTGTCTGCCCCTTGTGCCCAGGGCTATGGTTTGCAGCTTTCCAGGGTTTTCTGAGTGTAAAATGTAGCACGGTGAGGTTACAGAAGAGAGTAACCTCTCTTGAGCTGACAAAGACATTTTAATCATCTATTAATGGTTCTGGCAGGGTCAGCCCTTGGCATTTTAGGTCTCCAAAAGGTCTCCTTTGGAGGAGAAAAGAACACTTAGGAAAGATGGAGCTGGACTTTGATGATCCTTGTAGGTCCCTGCCAACCCAGAATATTCCACGGTTCTATGGCTCAAATCACCAAGACTCATCTTTGCTGATAGGTTTTGTCTTCTGCTTTCCCTCAGCGACCACAAGAGAGCAGAGAGATGTGGGCAGGGTGGAAGGTGAATTGTCTGCTGCCAAAACAAATCCCCGGGGTGATTTTCAGGTTTGTTCCACAAGGCAGGCTCTGGCAGTGATGACAGCCACGCCAGACACAAAGGCTCCCAGGAAATCTGCAGATGGCACTTCCAGACAAAGCAGACAGACAGAGAAGTCCTGGACTGCCAAGCCACACGTACAGGACTTGTTATTATTTTATTTATCAGTGCAACATCCTGGAGAAAGAATAATTCACTTCTCATTAAAGCCATCCTGCGCTTCCTGAGAATTGGATTCAGATCTGTGTGTGCCATCTGCTCTGCTTAATTTGTGCTGATGAAAAGCTGACAGCACACACAGAATTCCTGTGCTCCCAAAAAGCAGCACAAGGTGCTGCAGAGCTCTGCTGGTGCCCTGGCAGCACGGCTGGCACCTGAGCCAAGGCTCCAGAGGCTGGAGAAAGCATTGGCTTCCAAGGAGGAGAGCAAATGTGGCACCCAAAGTCTTGCTCTTTCCTCTTCACCTGATTTTTATTTCTTAAGAACAGGTTGCACAAATCAGAGGTGGGACTGGCATGGCCTTGGTTCTCATGGGGTATTTTGGTTTTGTATTTCCATCATTGATTGGTTTGGGTTGGAGGGACCTTAAAGCTCATCCCATTGCACCCCTGCCATGGCAGGGACACCTCCCACTGTCCCAGGCTGCTCCAAACCCAATGTCCAGCCTGGCCCGGGACACTGCCAGGGATCCAGGGGCAGTCCCAGGGTCAGGATCCCCTGGAGCTCCCTTGCAGCTCTGCCACATCTCTGAAGGAAACCCCCAAGAAAGGACCCCCTGCTCTCCTCACTGCTCACCTCTGACAGGGGAGAAGTTTTACAGTGTTCTGGATCCTCCTCTTAGCAGAAACTCACTGGCTCAGAAGCCAGAGCTAAGCTTTGCTTCTTCCTCTTAGACCTGGCCTAAGACAGAGAGGTTTATCCCACCTGCAGCTCTCTCACAGAAGGGACTGACAGAAGCCTTTAAAAGGTGTCTGGTGGCCTCTGACAGCCTGGCAGCCCCTGGACTGGGAGTTTGCAAACTGAGAAGTGAATTAATAATCAACAAAGCTGCTGGTGGGTCACAGAGAGGATCAGCAGCATCCACGGGTGATATTCTCAGTTCCAGGGCTCCTTACTGGGTGAAATAGAGCAAAACAAGTCAGTTATTGTGGAGAAATGAGCAGATGGACCTGACCATGAAAAAGCAATAAAATTGTGGTGAGAATCCCAGAATGGTTTAGATAGGAAGGGACCTTAAAGCTCATTTTGTTCCAATACCCTGCCATGGCAGGGACACCTTCCACTGTCCCAGGCTGCTCCAATCCCAATGTCCAGCCTGGCCTTGGGCACTGCCAGGGATCCAGGGGCAGCCACAGCTGCTCTGGGCACCCTGTGCCAGGGCCTCACTGCCCTCACAGCTAGGAATTCCTTTTTAATTTCTAATTTCTATTCTAAATCTGGCCTCCTTCACCTTAAAGCCATTCCCTTTGTCCTGTCACTGCATGGCTTCATAAAAAAATTCTTCTCCAGTTCTTTCATAAGCACCTTTTGGACACTAAAAAGCTGCCACAAGGTCTCCTTACAGCGGATTTATTCAGCACATTGGTATTTCAGGCAGAGACAAGTTTAAAGCCCTGGTTGCTCAACGTGGCCAGTGATGTCACACGGGCCACCAGGGCCCTGGAAGGCATCACAGACATCTGGATTCCAGGTTGCATCATCACTGAATGAATCAGATACTGAGGCTGCTGCCTCTGGAAACCTTCTGTTTACACACAGCTATCTCAGTATCCAA